TAAGAGAATGAGAGCGGTGGAAGGTATGAGAGTAAAGGACCGCAAAAAGGGCAAGGAGGACGAACAATATTGATAGGTTCCATGAAAGCAATCTCGCCTCCTTGGGCTGCAACACGCCGCTGAGCCAGATACTCAGCGACACGGCGTCGCCGACGGCGACCGGGTAGGCCCACTCGGAGATTGCTGAGGTGCGGCGAGGCAGACCTGGGCGTGGTGCAGCGGAAGCGGAATATCATTATATTTCGCGAGGGAGCAGAGGACGAGGATTCATTCGGAGGAAGAAGCAGAGGGAGGCCGGAGGAGGAAATCGGGAGGGATGCAGCGAGGAAGGACGGAATGGAAGGAAGAGAGACAGTCAGAGGTAAGATACCGGGTGCTGGAACCCAAGTCCGACCGCGCCGTGTGCATATGCCGCGTCGACGTTCATGCCCGCAGATTATGGTGCTGTATTCCCAAATCCTCGCCAAAGACATAAACCGAACAGGAAGAGCGGTCGGAGAAAGAAGCGGGGAGAGGGAGGAGGAAGGGACGCATTAGGGTAGCAACAAAGGACACGCACCCCAAGCCGTAGTATCAAGTGCCACATAAACGTCGCACCGGTTCAAGATTGTCTTGCCGAGGAGGAGGAAAGGTTCCGTTGTTTATTTATTGACCGCAGGTGTCAATGTGAGCATTCGTCCCGGAAGAAGAGTGATGGATAGGCGGGGTGCAGGGGCGGGCGGGCTTGAAGGCTTAGGCATCAGATGAGGCAGACCTGCGTGCGCATCACGTTACACGTCAGCACTCTTTAAGTTTGAGCATTGACGCCGGACGGTAATAAGGAGGATGGAAAAGGCAGAGTAACGGGATAGAAAAGGCGGGAGGAAGGTAGAAGAGACGCAGCGGTTGTGCGCGTACACCAGCGGCTCAACCGTGACTGCCTGCCCACACACCGTTGAGCCGTATTCCTGGCAAAGAGGATATGGAGGATCTATCGCACCGTGCTCGCAAATATCAAGCCGTCACGCGTCAACGAGCATCGAGCATCGTGCCGCGGCTGGAGTACTCCGGGAGAACATTGCCCTGCGGACCGCCATGAACACGAGCAGCAAAATGTGGGTTGTCATCATCCTTCGTCGCTTTCGTCGGAGATCGTCAAAGCGGGAATCAATGGGGAAAGGCGATGGAGGCGGATGGGCAGCCTGCTGGGAGAGGCAGAGAAGCTGCTCGACAATAAGAAGAACGCCGCCGCTTGTTTTGGTGGCGGGAAGACGGAGACGCACGCGGGCAGAAGGAAGAAAAGTCATTACTTGTGCATGTGTACTATCGTCCTCCCGCAGGCTGATCCGGCCGGCTTCTGCCGGTGCATGGTTTGATTCTGGCGATTGTGGTTTGAGCAAAGGTCGCGAGAATGAAGCGATTCAGGATGAGCCAGCAGCAGAATTTATCACTCAACAATTCTCATGCGAGCTCAGCCACTCAGTCGACTCGAGTTCGACTCGAATTGAAGACACTAAATAACACTCGAAAACCTTGGAGAAATAAGAGAAGGATGCGCAGCATGTAGCGGATAAAACTAGGTACACGGAGCTGTCATGGGCCAGGGCGGTCAGGCTCAATCATAGTGCAACTTCTACCTCAAAGTTGAACCGGGGAAATTCAAACTCGCGCCCCGAACTTTTGTGGCTGTGTTAAGGTGCTTCCACTCCCGATCTCTTTTGTCCGAGGTCCAGCGTTCGAATCTCCACGCAGTGGGCCTAGCGGCGAGCGCAAGCACCACGCAGTGGGCCTCGCGGCGAGCGGCAGCCCCGCGCAGCGGTCGGGGTCTGGGGTGAAGCCCCAGCCGTCCGGGCCGGCGCCAGTACAACTAACTCATCATAGATCAGCACATTGACAGGACCGGATTTGGAGTCGGAATTTTCGAACCGCGCCGCGCAGAGTTGTAGAAAAATTGCCAGCCTCGTCGAGCGGATGCTCCACGCAGTGGTGCTCCGCAGAAGTCGACGGGGCTGCCAATTTTTCTACGACTCAAGCGGCGCGGTGAGGAAATGGAGCCAAAAGTAAGATATGTGACATCACGCGTCACAAAGTTCGAGGCGCGGGTTTAGCCTCCCGAACCGGGTGAACGGAGGTTCGATTCCTCCCAACGGCCATGAGACAGTGTTGTCGTACACGTTTTTGCTCCCCCGCTTAATCGTTTGCTTCGCAAAAATTTTGCAAAAATTGTTTGATGGTTCAGCGCTGAAGCTCGATACCTTCCTGCATCTGAACTCTCCTCATTCTGCGCATGGGCAAACGCAAGTACAATTCATCCGGCCCTGTGTAGAAAGAACCGTCCGAAGCATCCAGTCCCGGGCTCCATTCGAACGAGCGTTTCCAGCGCGTCTGTTTATTGCACGCAGGTGTGGGTCATCCGCGGCCGAGGCTCTTTCCTTTTCTTAGGGAGCTCAGTTTGTTGCGTCCCGTTGCGCTCAGAACAGGAAAGAAACCTGTGATTGTATCTTGATTGTATCACTGTTTAGGCCTCCGGGATCGATTCCACTCACAACGAGCATACAATGCAGGTGCTTACCACCGGGCTTACGAGTCCACGTTTCGTGTATCCCGTTGCGCTGTAACAAAAGAGGTAAAATACAAAAGAAGCTTGAGAATTCAAATTGCTGACGAGAGAAGCACAAAAGGGATCGTACAACCCGAAGGCCCGGGCTCGATTCGAACGAGCTCCTCCTGCAGAAGTAAAGGCTTCTTCACATACAAGGTGCAGATGCGGACCATCCGCTTCCGAGGCTTATCACTTTCCCTTTGGGGTTCATTTTGTTGCATCCTATCGCGGAAAATATCGGGTTCTATATGTTGCGTAAATAAAGCAGGGGTCAACTTCGGGTCGGAAAACTTTCATTTCCACCAAAACTTCTCTCAGCTCTCGTGAGCAGCTCATTGCGGTGCATCCAGGAAGACAGAAGGGAGACAGAGGAAATGGATGAAATAACCAACAAGAGGGCGCCAAAAAGCACGACTCTATGGTATCAGTTATAGCCCGGGCTCGAATCGAACGAGCAACGCTGCAAGAAGTTTCCTTATACCTCCATTGCTCGCAGGTGCGGACCATCCGCCCGAGGCTTGATAGATTGCAGTTGAGCTGGTACGCACTCACTTTAATCCGATTGGAGGATCCATGGTTCTGCGGAAGTAATGACACAACGCGACGCGTGAAAGGGTGGAAGGGTCACCGGGTTATATGACAACACAGCGAGACATATGAGGGTTAGGATAATGGTGAGGAATGGAATGGCCTGGCAGAGACAGGCGGAGGAAAGGGCGATGAGATACGACGCGGGGAGAAGGTGGTTGGATGAAGGAGGGTAGATGGGCGATGAGAACGGTGAAACGAGCAGAGTTAGATAGGACCACAATGCCGGGAGGACAGACAAGGGAGGACAAACGCACGCACCAAATTAACACCACCACACATCCCCCCGCACGCAATCGAGGCAGATACGCAGCCACACGGAACGGCCGCGTGTCGGTGACAACAGGTGTGCCGACGACGAGCGTGCAGACGTTGGAGGTTGAGCAGACCTGTACGGATAGCGGCTCAGCGTTAGCATAATCAATAGACACGTTTGGAACGGGATGAGAAAGAGTAGGATTGTAGGTTGGGAACGAGGAAGCGCACTGAAATCCCCACACCGAGCCCTTGTTCGTATACGCCGTGTCGCGCCGTGTCGAGGTTCCTGCCCCGCACAATTCTGGTGTATTCCTCCGAGTCCTCCTCGAGGACATAAACCAAACAGCGAGGGGGAAGGGAAGACGGGGCAAGGGCCACGACGAATGGATCGGGGGGGGAGGGGGAGAGACAGAAGGGCAGAGATGGGATGAAAAGACAAGAAAAGACGAAAGGAGGAGGAGGGAGAAGAATGTGGAGACACACCGACACACCAATTGTTCGTGTATGCCAGCCACGCGGCCGTTGCGACGTTGCTCCCCAATAAGAAAAAATAAGGGGAAATGAAGCAGTATGACGAAGGGAGGCAAGGAGGAGGACGAGATCCCATGTCGCATTATCTCTCGTCCATGAGCCCCACGACCCGAAACGGTCAAAGAATGTCGTGCCGCAGCTGGAGTGCTCGCAAAGTGCTTGATAGGCGAGTAGTACGGCGCATCACGGGGAGTCTCAGGGACGCCAGCAGGAAGTCGTGCATTGTGTGGCCATCACATTTGTCGGAGATTGTTGAGGCCAATTGAGGCGGGGTGAGTCGGGTGACATCTTTCAGGCGTCCTTGGGGGGAGCTGGTATGAGCGGATTATGATGGAGTCAGGACAGCGGACGAGGATGCTTGAGGCGCACAGGAGGAAGACCGCAGCGGAGGGTGGGTGCCTCCCGATGTCGTGGTCATCGTGGTGGAAGAAGACGCGAGGGTTGCTTGCACATGTGTACCATCACCCTCTGATACGTCTGATCCCTGCGGCTTCTTCCGGTTCGTACAGTAGATGGTTTGGAGCAAGTTTGGAGAGTTGAAGTGATTCGAAACAACTGACTTCAGCTCTGTGAAAAAAATGGAATCCTGCTGGTTTCGTCGTCCTGCACACTGTGAGTCTGTGTTTCCCTCCGATCTGCTCTTTTTCGCGGTTTCAACTTGTTGTTTTGGAAAATCCTGGTTGAAATTTCTTTCGCAGGCTTTGATGGCAGCTCACGACTTTCAGGGAAATACAAGGCATAACAGCAATTGAAGTCAGCCGTCGTGTGCCACGGAGTCCAGCCAATCACTGCTGTTAATGAAATTGAAACTGGGCAGACAGGGGTTCAATTCCTCCCGGCGGCATAATCACTGGGGTGACCGCGATCTTTGTTTCCACACCTACTAGTAGAGCCCGAGCGATGCCGCTCTGCTTGCCGTACAACACCGCACCAAGAGATAACATGGCACTGGCTGCCGGAAGACCGATGTCCTTTTGAATTCGGCCCCTACCGCGCAAACATAGTGTGATTCAGCTGGATGAGACTCATGAGAGGAGAAGAGGCCGTTGAGGGCCGTGGTGGCCGCCCCTCATCATAATGACTGGTAACATTTCTGAATGGGGACACGGAGGTTCGATTCCTCCCGACGGTATTACAAGTTTCGTCGTCCTTTTTGTTTGGCTCTCGATGCTATTCCAAAAAGTGCCAGAGAAGTGGGATACGGACTTCCCAGGAGCCGTGGTAAGGCAGCGTGTGGATATCAGACGGAGATTGTGATCCACGTAACTCAAGCCGTCAGTGGGTAAGTAGAACAAGCTGTCGTGGGCCACGGCGGCCAGCCCCGCACTATGATGGGTCTACCAGGTGTCATGATGGGGGCGGACGGAGGTTCGATTCCTCCCGACGGCATGTTATCTTTTCTTTGCCTCAGCTTGATGATCATGAGCAGTCCCGTTCGTTTCGTTTTGTGCTGCGGAGTCAGACGCGGGCGAGAAATCTTTCCGGGTGGTGGATTGAAACACCGCGACTCACTCACTCGGTCAATGGCTGAATACAAAAGTGAAGACGAGGTGTTCCTGCCGTCTATGGAGTTGAAATAAGCCATTGTAGGCCCCAGTTCCAATACTCAAGGTTGCCTCAACGTGAAAGTATCCAGTTCAACGGAACAGCTGCGGGGTTCAATTCTCCCCTTGCCATATTGAGAAACCGAACGACCATTTTTCGCTCCCCTGATTGTTTTGGGACAGCAGGAAAGCGCTAAGGCCAGGCCGAAACTCCCCAAAGCCTTCAAGCTTTCAGGTCTAAATCAGCAATTCAACGCATCGGCCGGTAGTCCGAAGGCCACCTTCTTTGTATGCTCGTACTGGCTCGGTGGCGGACGATCCGCCTCTATTATTCATGAGCGGTGGAACAAGTATGTGTGGAGATACCGCCCGTTCGACTCGGGCCCGAGCCACTGTGCCAGGCTGTCCTGCAAATTTCTTTTTGCGAACTGTGGGTCTGCACTGTTCACTGAGCGAGTGGGCAGAACTCCCAGGATCAACCACAAATTGAAGAACGAAGCACAAAAAAGAAAAGCATACTGTCGTTGACAACGGTCATGGCTCGGGCTCGAATCGAACGAGCAACGCTCGCAGTAATAGGCTTCTCACAGATACAATGAACGCAGGCGTGGGACCTCCCCCTCCGAGCCTTGTTTTCTTTCTATAGAACTGGGTTGCGTGGGATTTGTCTCTCTGGGTCCCACGGAATGTTCGTGCCCCGTCCATAACGTTTTGCTGTATCTTTGCTTTGCAAAGAGGTATAGGATTCAGGGAGGAAAGGGGCCAAAACGAGTAAAGGATCGCAACAAGAGAAGGAGAACACATCAAATCAACCCCTGAATCAAATCCGCGCTGCGTCCCTTGCCATTGTACAGGATGCTCGGTCACACTAAGCAACCGTGAGGCATGCGCAGCGCGTCGACGACGAAGATCGTGGTAAAGCGGTAAGCCGCTTCAAATATTGAAAAACCTGGGGCGTATTAGCATAGGCATTATAGAAGTCAAGGAGAAGCATTATGGTTGAAGCAGGCAAGGAGGAAGGGATACGGAGGAAATGGGAGGGGAGGGAAAAGATGGAGCAGACACATGGGGAGCAGCGAGACTGGATTCCCCGGCCATTCATGTACGCCGCCTCGAGGCTCTTGCCCGCAAACCGTTCAGCTGCATTGAATGGTCAGGGACAAGAGCAAATCGAACAATGAATGGGGAGGGAAGAACGAAGCAGAAAGAACGGAGTGGGAAGAGGAGGGCACAGTAAGGGAGAGCACACGCACCCCAGCCCGTATCGTCACTCGCCCCGCAAGTCCCAGAGTATCATGCCGGAGCGTCAGGGGGAGAAAGACGGTGCCAGCAGGGGAAGTACAGTGCGTATATTTATCGTGCTGCCGTCGAATTCGCGTCGTTTTAGCACGGCGCAAGAGGAAGAGTTGTGGGTAGGCGGGATAATGAGCGGTAGGAGAGCGGTGGGCTTGAAGACTTTGAAGTGGATGAGGCAGACCTGCGTGCGACCTGCGGGAGGAAAGTGATGAAAGCAGGGGAAAGGGGGAAGAAAGAAGGAGAGAGGGAAGGAAGAAGAAGGCAGATCACGAATACGCCAGCGATAACGCCGTCACTAACACCTGCCTAGTACCTGCGCACCACTTAGTTACATTCCTCCCCAAGGAAAGACACTGACGAGAAGGGAGGAAGAGGAAGGAATGAGGACACACCCCACATCGTATTCTGCATCTCCCTGGAGCCGCCAAAGTCAAAGCCGTTATATAACGTCGTCCCGCACCCTGGGTAGTTGATGAGCGGGTAAGACGTCGCCGCCGCGCGGAGCGCTGACAGCACACGTTATCACCGTTGTCGTTTGCAATTTTCGTCGCTTTCCGGCAAGAAATCATTGAAGGGGCCCTACGTGGGCGAGGTTGATCGTCCGAGAGGTGGGAGAGCTGACGGGCGCTAAAAATAAGAGGAAGGAAGAAGTTTTGAGGGAGCGGGGGACGGCGCCGCTGCATGTCGTGGTGGCAGGAGGAAGACAGTTGGTTGCTTGCGCGTGTGTACCATCAACGTCTGATCCGAAGTTCGCATAAAAAAATCAACATCCTGCCAACCTCGGTGTGGATTCCAGGAATTAAGGATCAGGCTTTGCTGGTGTATAAGCCTATGAGAGGCTCACGCGATCTCACAGCAAACAGCAATTCTTTTTATCCAATCGCGCCGGCTTCTCCCGGTTCATGGCAACTTCATGCTAAATCGTCAGTCTCTCGTTCCTTAAATTACATCTGCGGCTCAGTGGATATTCGCGTAGAGCATACTGCGTATGTCCGACTAAGAGTGAGGACAGCTGGTGTACCCATGGATCGGGCGGAGCATTTACCCAATAAGTTGAAGTTCGATTCCGCCCTACGGCTTAACGAGACTGTCTTGCGTTTTTTTTTACCCGGGACCAAGACCATAATGAATGCTGTTTCTCTGTGCTCTGTCTTGCGCGGTGATCACTCGAGCCGTCGGTTCGTTCACGAGCAGGTCCTTCCTGTGGGTACCCGCTCTGAATCGCCGGGTTGTATTACGCATGGGCAGCCAGAGTGGCCAACAACGCAGCATGACTCGGCTAGAATATGGTAGAACAGGCGGTCGTGGGGCCAGGGAGCCACCCCGCAGTCATCATGCTTTTTCGAACCTCGCAAGGCGGGCAGATAGAGGGTGATTTCCTACCCGCGGGCGATTCCGAGGTCATCTGATTCCCATTTTCTTTTGGCTTGCCGACAGTACTAGCTAGTTTTGTCAAGTCAGGAGGTTCCTGGGCACAAATGACATTGCGGACTGGATGAGCGAAGGGATCCAGCGGCAATTTTGCGGCCATTTGGATGGTTAAGGTGACTCGATGAATGCCGTAGCATGCAGTTAAACCAGCGTCAAGACTCAATCAGCCGTCGTCGGCCACGGAGGCCACCTCGCAATCGTTTATTTCGTGTTTCTGAGTACTTGAGGGTGCAGATGGGGTTCGATTCCCCACGACGGCATGGTACTGGGGTGGAACTAATCTTTCGTCACTCGCTAGCTTTTGGTCTTGCAATTGGTCACAGATGGTGCCGACTCCGTTGTTGGATGCTCCCGGTGATTTACGACTTCAAGGTACGTTGCGGGAGCCATAGCCCTAAGATTTAGTCTAATGCAGATGGCTCTAGCCATAGGAAGTGTTGTCTAAAGCCACGGCACTAGCCATCGGGTTGGCTAGAGCCATGACAGAGACTCGAGGTCCTTCAAGGACAATAGGAGCAAAATTAACGTCGCCGTGGGGTATTCGATCCAGAGACCTCTCCATAACACACAGAAACCTACACCTTACACATTGCACTACAAGTCCGATACAGAGCACCAACCTTACCCGGCCTAACCACAGACCCAAAGCCCTAACCAAACAAATCCTAACAACCCTAACCTCTAACCAACCGAGGCAATAATACTCCTTGGGACCCTAAACACTAACCTCTAACCACTAACCCAAACCCCTAACCGCTAACCACTAACCCGAACCCTAACCGGGCCCCTTCGGGGCGGTATAGTGGATAACAAGCTTATTCAGGGTTCTGAGGTTCCCATCTTATCCCCATCATTATGGCCAATAATCACTCCTTCGTTGTCTAGTGGAATCTCCTCCCCTCTCCTTGCGGTGTATGTAATCCGTATATCCTTGCTTTTGGGTTCGAATCCCGCTCTAGTCTTTTGTTTAATATTCTGTGACCCGTAGTCTATTGTCTTGGTCCCAGCCAATGGTTGGCTAGAGCCGTGGCTATAGACAACACTTCCTATGGCTAGCTCCAAGACAGTAGCCTAAATACCAGTACTATGGGTGGTTGCGGCCCTGTTGGATTCCGCGACTACTCTAAGTGTAGGCCCAATAAACCGCCGTGCGCTATGAACATGATTGACATTGTACAGTGTGGTCTTGCTGGATTTAAACAGCCAGGCTTCGATCCTTCTCTTTCACGTCTGTTCAATGACATTGTCTTTCTCTGTTTGTTCAGGCTGGCCAATCTGAGCTTCCGATGGCGGGATAATAAATGCCGGTTCAAAAGGGATACTCCTTAAAAAGACCTACACGGGACTGGCTGACTCGGCCGCTGAATACAAAGTCGAGAACTTCCACTAAGCAGGTGGAACAAGTAGGGGGAACAAGCCATCGTAGGCCATGGAGGCCACCCCTTATCAATGTAGCGACTGATTGTGTCAATTGAACGGGGGCATACTGGGGTTCGATTCCTCCCGACGGCATGGTTGTGTTCATAGAAAATTTCTTTGGTCTTTTCTTCGGCAAGCGAGACGCACAGAGGTGATAAATCGCAGCTGCGAGTTGAAAGCATTTTGGATGGCACCCGCAACCGCGTCGTAAAATGTAGTGCACGACCTGCCGTCTACACACATAGTCCAGTTCTACAAGTTCTGCAAGTCCATGTGGAGAACGGAGTCTCGCCCTCATTCGTTGAGGCCTGGATTTGACGGAAACGCTGGTTCGACTCCACGCGTGGCCATGTGCAGAACTGGAATGGATGTTTTTTTTCGCCTAGCATCCCTGCCTCTTGATGCAGATTCACCCGTTCGTGTATTCAATTTGGGCTACCAA